ATTTCATGTTGTTTTGTTAGTAATCTCAGCAATGGAAGCATCAGAATGACGATTTCCTATTTAAGCTGTGAAAAGCGAGTTAGACCCTAGGCACGTATAATCGAACTGCCTTTAGTCAGCTCTGGAGTTTAGAGGCGCTAAAGGTTCTACTGTGAAGCTCTTGTCTGGACTATAATCCGCGGCTTACGTTTCAAAGGAGACAAGGACCGAAAAGTTGGGTGGATTAAAATTAGCCAGCCAGTTTACATTAACAGTCTAGGCCATTTGCTTTGAGGCGATTCGCATCCTGCCTGTCCGTCTACTAAGTTATCGGCAGAAGCTGATGTGACCGCTGGCACAAGAATTTTATTCGCCTGACCTTTCGACATCCCTCGCGGATGCCTCATCAGAGACAATAGTAGAAACGGCTTATTGAGACACAGGGAGCTAACATATGCATAGGATACAGCCTTTATGCTACCAAATACTAATGACAATTAACGGCCCCCTATCGACGATAATTTACCACTTGTGCGCTAATTACAAGAGGTGAAAACTACGTGAGCCGTAATCTGCTTGAGTCATTGTTCTCCCCTCCGTAGTCAAGTATCAATCGCAGTGTGTCTGCTCGTCACGTAATTATCAAGCCAACATCCAACACGGATGATAAACTCTCGGCCATTAATGACTGAGAATCGGACTGTCAAGCCATCATCGCATCGATCCCGACCTCAAGCGATGGCCACGTGGCCACTGTGAATGATTATATGGGCACATTCGTCGAAAAATGCAGGCGAGGAGCCAAACGAAGAAAACCGACTGGACAGCCAGAATCGACACGCTGACGAGCAATGCCTTGCTGGTGTATCCAAAGAAAACGCTCGACTGGGCAGCGAATTAGGGATATGCATCGCTCACAGACAGGGAGCGACAATCCGCAGACAACTTATGCGGCCAAAAGACGCAGTACCCGTTAAGTAAAATTCCGGTGTCATTTACCGTACCGAATATCTTTTTGGTCAAGCCAATCATGTTAGTGAAACTGACAAACGGATTCTCACGAGAATGCACCAGCATGAACTCGCCGTGCGACGGAAAGACAAGCTTTCTCTGATAGCTGCCCACGCATCCACGCCAAGGCACGACTTCGACTTCGAACGCGTGCGAATGCTAGGTCACGACTGCTGCAGGAAGCATGGCATTCACACGTGGATTGAATTAACAGGCATATCGATCTTCCTGATGCCTACCTCACTTCGTGCAAACAGATCGAGGGCAGCGGTCAAGGGCAAGGACACTCCGGGCAGAACTGAGTTAAATACGCACTGAGCTGTACATTTTTTATTCCTTGGCAATGGGCTCACG